AATATTTAACACATATTGATCAATAAAATTTGGACAAATTCTTACCAAATTGGTTGGCAAATTAATTATGCTTACTGTTATTGATATGAATTTCTTCTTCCTACAAAACTCATTGCTTTACAGGAGACTCAACAATGGTAGAATCACATAGAACTGACCAATTGACACCTTGTTCTCCTCCACATGTGACCGTCGCAGTAGCGCATAAGTTGCGTTCTCTTTGTTGTCATAGTCTCATGCTCATCTCTCACATTCATCAAGAATTTTCATAGACAACTTTAAGTCTTTTAGATTGTTGTCCATGAATGTTGAGAATACAAACTAATTTAAACTCTTAAGGTGTGTAATGCACTGTTCTAAAGGACTTCTCTATAGACACTCACGCAAGTCTTGTAGGATACAACATGATCTTTTCAATATTAGACATGCATTTTCAATTCCATCTATAACTACTCAATATTAAATAAATAAAAACTACAACAAATTTGGTTGAATAATTGTCTCCAAAAATATTTTCATTGAATATATTTTATTCTAATTTATATGCAAAGGAGATTGAATTATACATTTTTATTGAATATATTTATTCTAATTTATATGCAAAGGAGATTGATTATTGCATAATTTATATATTTTAATGGTTTCTAGTCCTCAGAATTAAGGTAAATTTGTTTTTAACTCTTCAAATTTAAAATCACTTTTTAATCCATGTAATTTTAAAAAATATTATTTTAATCCTTATATCCAATTTTTTAAAGAAGTCAATATTGTCTTACACAATCTACTTACTAATGTTTCTTTTACATTAAATTTCGTTGATATTACATAACTTTTTCAATTTGTTATTTTCAGATGTATTATTAGTAGTTTGAGAGATTAAAACAATATTTTAAAAATTACAAAGATAAAAAAAAAATTTTAATTTGAATTATCAAAAACAAATTTACTTAACTTTAAAAGATTAAAAATATATTTAAATTTATTTTAATTTAAATATATTTATATTTAAATTCTAATAGTATAAACAAGTAGTTAGTCTAATTGGCATTGGAGCCAATCTCTTTGATAAGATCTAAAAAAAACATTATTAGGAAAGAAAATTTCATTAATGTTTTATTTGGTTAAGAGAAAATGAGTAAGAATTAGGTTCAAAAGAGTGAAAATACAAGAGTGAAAATAAGTAAAATTATTTGATCAAAGAAAAATAAGAGGGGAAAAAATTAAAAAATAATAAGTCCTATTTATTTATTTCTGTTCATCTTTCTTATCTAGCTTATCTATTATAACACTGAGAAGTCGGCTGTATGAATAACAAGTTAAAAACAAAATTATAAAAGTATAAAAAAAATAAATGGAGAGTCCTTGAAGTAATGAATATGAACATTGAGTAACAAGTAATCCCAATATTCTTCTCCTCGCTCTCCGCATATCTCAACACCGAACCCTGCGCTTCTCCTTCGATCTCGAGTATGTTTCTGTCACACCTTATTTATCTCCTCTGCTCCCTTAGGATTTTATTTCCAAATTTTGCATCATATTTAACAATCCACATACGCAGAATTCGATCCAAATTGTTTACCATTTTCCCTTCCAACCTTGTTTTCATATCGTGTGTGACCGCGACTCAGAAGTGAAAACTTTAGATTAGAGTGCTCTAGGAAACCTGAAATCCCTCTTTGCAATCTGTCTTTGTAGTTTTTGAGTAGTGAACTGAGTATTGATTGACGTGAAAGGGTCTAATTCATTGAGTTATGTATTTTATAGAGTGATTTATGCTTTTTATTGAATGCGCAATCTCGAATAAATGTTTGTCATGTATTTTATTGAGTTTCAAATTCAGGCCTAATTACCTGATTCATTGATTCTAACATTCTCAATTAGTACATAGATTGAGGCAAGAAATTAAATGAGTTCTATTTCTCAGTGAGCAAAGCCCTAGCCAGTTAGGTTTGGCTCATGTCTAGCCAGGCCTGCCATAAGCATAACTGTTGCCAAGCATGGTTGCGATTTTGCCGCAATCCTTGATGTTGTACCAAATTGCAGACAAATGTGAGTCATTAGCGAAAAAAAAAATCATTTTATAGTCTCTACAAAATTAAGGACTAGAATGACTGTCATTTGGTAATTTAGGGATCAAAATGATGTAATTTTAGAGATTAAATTAACTAACGCTTGTAACTACAGGCATTAATTTCTTGTATTACTCAAATAACATCAGCACAAACTTCAATAGAGATTATAATCGTTTTAATGCATCTTGAAGTTTTGATTGGTTGTGTGGACAGACTGTGTTCATAAAAGAATTGTTCTTCAAAGATTTGATATTAGATTTCAGAAGGGTTTTTCTAGCTTAAAGAGGTCGTAATTAAAAAAATGTAACGCATGTAAAAAATATAAGGAAAGTACCACCGGGGGGTCCGACCAACTCATTACTAAATAAAGCATAAGACAATGTCATAACTGGAAAAAAAAAATGCGCGAGATCTTAAATTTTACTATATTTGTAGATGATGATTCCTCTGAGAAATAATGATTTTTCTTTTGAATGTTTGAAATTTGCATGCTGCGGACAGACTGACACTGAAGGCCCCTTCACGCTTTGAATGTTGCCACATTTGTAAAAGCGGAAAATGTTAAGTAACATGCACACATTTTACTTTTTATGGATTATTTTTACTTGTTTTTTATTTCACTTTTTTTTCAATTTTTAATTGTAAAATTTTTTATCTTTTTTTTTTCTGTTTAATTACATGAAACATTGAAAATAATTTTGCTCTACAAATTTTTTGAAAATAGAAAACAAATTAAAAAGAATCTAACATTTTTTATAATAAAAAATTAAAAACAGAAAATGAAAACACAAGTACCTAACAATAAATAATAAAAAAATCGTTGGATCTTTTCTTTTTAAATTATAAAAGAATTTTAAAGTGGCACATTATGAAACTGGTGCATGTCAATGAACTTATTTCATGTTGTTTTTCATTAATTAATCACGAGGAAAATAGCATTGTTATTGTCAAAGCTAATTCAGACCTAACATGATGTTTTTACATCATCTTTAACATTGTTGCATTTGGTATACACATTTTTTTTAATATTATTTTATCTTTTAAATTTTTAAATGATATTAAAAATCAATCATTCTTATAAAGAAAAAGATTCAAATTCAAGATCTCTAAATTTAAAGACTAAATATAATATCAATTAATTTATTAAATATTGATAATTATTAAATAATTTTATTAAATAAAATATAAAAGTACAAAACGTTTCAATCCTACTAATTTTATATTAATTATAATTGTGGAATGAAATTTGATATAGGCTGTTTTAGATTAGGGAAGAATTAATTTGTAAAATGATTTTTCTTTGGTGAAAATAAAATTACTTTAAAACTGGTTTCGACATTATAAAAAAAATAATTATGTTCAAATAAAGGTATTTTTATTATAATTTTTTAACTTTTATTTTAATTGTTAATAGAATTGCTCTTAAAATATACCAAAGACTCGAATGGCTTTTAGATTTTAAGGTTTTGTTTTTCGGTGTCCATGTTATTCGGTACATTGTCTGTTTGTTTGAAAAAACAAATCTCTTGAAAAATCAAGCTTAAAAATGTCTTCATCCCTACACAAATAACTTTGACTTATATGCACGTCCTGTTCTTTTCATTTCACAAGTCTTCATTTTTTTTCATTCTCTATATTATTGGCTTATACAGTCACACGATTCTATATATCTTAGTTAAGGCTTGAACTGGCATTTTTTAACTTTTGCTCTTGTACATTTTCATGTCACACAGAATCTATTACTTGTAACATCTAGCTAGACGTGGATTTGTTTCGAGACGCAAAACCAAACATGCATTTCAGGTATCAATGACACACTACTACTCCCATCTAGCATCATGCGATTCTCCTAATCATGAACTATTCACGTCTAAAAAGATTTATAGATCTTAGCAAACGAAATATGGAACACAACTCAGCTCACATTCAACGTATCAAATCAAAAGCAAAATATTTTACAAATTATTTCTAAGCCAAACTCTTATTAAATTACCTATACTTTCACCGACCGTCTTTTATGTTTTTTATTTTCTCCACCGGATCAATAAATAAATAAAACAAACCTTTGGTGTTAATTAGCGTGTATTTGATATCCATTTTTTAACGCATAGAATGGACTCGATCATTGGATTTAAGTTTATAAGTTGATAACCCTATCCCATTTTCTGATCACTGGATTTAAGTTTATAAGTTGATAACCCTATCCCATTTTCTGATCACTGGATTTAAGTTTATAAGTTGATAACCCTATCCCATTTTCTGATCACTGGATTTAAGTTTATAAGTTGATAACCCTATCCCATTTTCTTTTGGGCAAAATAGATCTACTAATTCTTTGATTTTAAATAAGAGTTAAACACGTCTAAATATAAATTTACGTAAAAATTAATATTTATTACTTCAAATTAAACATAAAAATTGACGTCAGCTTGAGAAGCTATAATTTTGGTTTCACATTGGAGGCGTCAGACATGTTACTTACATTTTCGGTTGCTTTTTATTTTCTATTTGTTGGATACAATTGTTGTCCGATATTTGACTCCAACAAGACAAAAATCTGAGACGATAGAACCGATTAACCGACCCCATCCATCACCCATCGTTATCATCGAAACAGAGTAGTGACCACAGCATCTTCTCTCTCCAATGGTCCCTTCTCTTCACAAATACAACTCATAAGCCACAAATATACCTAACCCCCCAATTTTATTGCCCTTTGTAGTACTTTATTATAAGGGCTCACTCTCTTAGGCCATTGCAATGCTTCCCCCTGGCCCTAACCTCTACAACCCCTTTTTTTTATCCAAATAAAAACACCATTAATTTTTTTTAAAAAAGTTTTTTTTCTTCAAAAATTCCCGATTGCCATCGATACTTATCTCATTTAGTTAAAATTGAACAATTAAAAGCAACAAGGAAGCGTAGGGCGATTATCAAGTAATTTACATTTAAAATTTTGACTTTGACAGCACCAAAATTCCTTTTGTGAAATCTAAATTAAAAAAAAAAAATAATAACGAAAAAGGGCCTCATGTCATGATCATCGTCACCTTGCTCCACTGCAACTCAGCAGCGCACGTTAGCAACCGGCCCAGTCAAAATCCAAATTTTCGGGTTCAGGTATCTTATTGAGGTCGACCCGGTCGATGAATTCTCCGGCGACGACAGCGGGCGCGTTCTGGAGGTGGAGAGCGTCGACTCTGGCACCGACCTCGGTGGCCTTCTTCCTGATGGAAGCGGCGGACATGTCGGCGGTGGGGCCTTCCACAGCGAGGAGGTCGGGGAAGTTAAGGCAGGCGGAGGGACCCCGGAGGTAGAAGACAGCAGTGTCATAAGCACGCGCCGCCGCAACGGGTGTGGAATAGGAACCGAGCCAAATTCGAGAACGCTTGTTAGGTTCACGAATCTCAGCGACCCACTTGCCCCACTTCCTCATTCTAATTCCTTTGTAACGATTCTCACCTTTTTTTCCTCTCTTCTTCGTGCTTCCTCCTTCTCCTTTCATTTTAGCAAAACCCAAACTTTTTCTCTCTCTCTTTCTCAAATCAAAAGGTAAATCTTTATGAAAAACATAAATAAAAAAGAATAAAAATATGTGAGGAAAGATACTGGGATTTTGGTTTTTGTGTGCAAAGACACTGAGACGAGGTTATCACTTGCTTGAACAATCCATGTCCAACTCTGTTCATTTTTATACCACCCAACAACATAATTTCAAAATTCACATTTCAAACAAAAATATGTATTCACCGACAAAAATAACCTAAGCATTAAACAAACTTTAAGGCACGTTCTCTCTAGTCTTCTTTGTTCAAGGAGGATAATAAATAGGAGAAATCAATTTGGTCTTAAAAGTATTCAATTTCTCTCTCTTCAGTAACTCTTCAACCAATAAAATCATATAAATGACATTAAAGTATTAAATGTTATGTTACATATTTTCTAAGTAATGAAAATCTTTTGAATTAGTCTATCAACGTTAGTGAAATATGTTGATGAAGGAACTAAATTGATCGAGTTTTAATAGGTTTAATTAGCTTTTAACTTTTTTTTAGTTTCATAAATTTATTTTTTAGTTTTTATAATTAAAAAAATTTTATTTTAATTCTTTTACAAAACAATTTTATTCTTTTTTAGTTTTTATTTTTTATTTTTATGAGAATTAAAGAGAAAATTATGTAATTATAGGACTAATAAAATATTTATGAAACTATATAAATGAATGAAAACAAAAATAATACGTATATGGACTAAAATTTAATACTTTTAATAATAAAATTAAAAAGTAAAATTCATGAAACTATATGAAGTAAATGGAAAATTAAACCTTTTTAATATTTTAAGAACTACTTATATAAGTTCATCAGTTTGTATGAAATATTAAATATTCTTAATATTATTTGTAGTTTTGTTGACACTTAGAAAAATAGTTGATAAAGAAAAGAATAAATAAAGCGTAAGTAGTTAGAGTGATGATGTTAATTAATATAGGAATACAAACAAGCAGTGTTTTAAAACTCGGACCGACCCGGCCGGTCGGACCGGTTGGACCGGGAACCGGTGGTCCAGCCGGTCCGAATCTGAAGTTGGATCGGTTATGCAGTCGACCCGTTTCAAACCGGATTGAACCGGTCAATTTTCCGGTTCAACCGGTGAACCGGTGGGTCAAACCGGTTCAACCACTTTTTTTTCTTATTTTTTTTTAAATTTTTTTAAGGGACCATAAATCACAAAAATAATAATGAAAATTGAATCTCTTAATGAAAAAACAAGGAGTCTTATTAAATATAACAATGACTACTTGTTCTAATATATTTGTTTGCAATATATACAACTTAAATAACTTTTATAGTATATTATTAATTTTAAATTATATATTTAATAATGCAATATCTATGTAAATATTACATATATTATTTTGTGATATTAATTGCAAGCATATTATATATGTACATATTATTTATATTTTTAATTTGTATTAATATACCGTTTAACATGTAATTTTTTTATGTATTTTTTTACAAAATAAAAATAAAAATAATTTTAAATAAGATAGAAAAATTGAAATTTAAAATAAGATATGAATTTATTAAAATTTATAAGTATAAAATATATTTAATATAAATATTTTTTAATAAAAATCAAGTCATGCGGTTCAACTAGTGACCCACCGGTTCAACCTTTGACCCATTGACCCAGTACCTTAACCGGTTCGATGACCGGTCCGGTTTTTAAAACTATGCAAACAAGTTTCATATTGATAAAATAATATAAGAAATAATAACTTATATAACACAAACATACTTCAATGTTTGAGAGATTTTTTGGGTGATGACCAAAAGCAAAATCGTGAGGGCTTAGGCTTAAAGCGAACAATATCTCATCATTGTGGAGTTGTGTGTGTAATAACCTTATAAAAATAATTCTCATAAAATATCTCCTCAGACAAATACCATAAAATAACTCCATCAGTGGTATCAGAGCCGCACCACGAGGCGTTGTCAGCGAGTCGGGTTGTTTGGGAATGCAGCCCAATCGGGCGGTAAATTCCATCCAAGACTAAATACTGGCGAGAGACCGATAGCGAACAAGTACCACGAGAAAAAGATAAAAAGGACTTTGAAAAGAGAGTCAAAGAGTGCTTGAAATTGTCAAAAGGGAAGCGAATGGGGGTGACAACACCAGGTTGTTTGGGAATGCAGCCCCAATCGGGCAGTAAATTCCATCCAAGACTAAATACTGGCGAGAGACCGATAGCGAACAAGTACCACGAGAGAAAGATACAAAGGACTTTGAAAAGAGAGTCAAAGAGTGCTTGAAATTGTTGAGAGGGAAGCGGATGGGGGTCGGCAGTATGTCTCGGTCGAATGTGAAACGGTGTTAGCCGGTCTGTCGATCGACTCGGGGCATTGACCGATGCGAATTGTGATGGTGGCCCAAGCCTGGGTTGTCCCTTGTTTGAGGGGAGGATTGTTGGGATACAAACAAGTCCCACATCGATAAAATAAGACAAGAAATAATAACTTATATAGCACAAACATACTTCAATGTTTGAAAGGCCTTTTGGGTGATGACCAAAAGCAAAACCATGAGAGCTTAAGCCTAAAGCTAGGGATGGCAATAGGCCCCGTGGGGCGGGTAATAGTAAACCCGCCCCTGCCCTGCTGAATGAAAATTGGTCCCATACCAACCCCATATCCGTGCGGGTATCCATTAAGCGGGTATCCATGAATTTCTTGAATACCCATAGATATCCATGGATATTTATAAATTTTTTAAAAAATTAAAAAAATTATATTACAAATAATTTTAAGTTTATATTTAATGTCATTGAAATATTAAAAACAAAAATTTAATCTTAATTTTGAATTTGTATTTAACGTTAATTTTGTTGAAATAATAATAAAAATGCAATATAATCAATAACTTAAAATACATCAATCTGACAAGTAAGTTAAAGTCTCATCACAAAGTTACAATAATTCAATCTCATAATTCCAAACGAAAGTAAATAACTTAAAGTACATAAATCTTATTGGTCCAATCAAAGCTAGAAAATTAATCAAATTACATCTAACATAATTCTATAACATGCTTAACACATGTTAGTAACTTCATCAACCTCACTTTTGTAAGAAAATAAGATGCGAGAGTGTAGTTTTAGGGCTATGTGGTATAAGGATAATTAAGATATTTAAGAAATAATATTAAACGGGTATCCGCGGGTATGGATATCATCATACCCGCCCCCGCCCCATTTATAAACGGGTAAAAAATTATTCGTCCCCATTATCCGCGGGTACCCAATTAGCCTATCCATTTATTATCCGTAGCGGATTTTATCCGTAGGTACCCGCGGGGGCGGGTATTTTTGCCATCCCTACCTAAAGCGGACAATATCTCATCATTGTGAAGTTGTGTGTGTAATAACCTTATAAAAATAACTCTCATAAAACATCCCCTCAGACAAATACCATAAAATAACCCCAACAACTAAAACATTAGCTAATGCAATATTAAGCATTAGTTAGAAGAAAGTTAGTTGAACATAAATTATTGACTATTAAGGCATAAGTTGATTTGTATATAATCTAATATGAGAATCGAATGTTTACAATTAGTTGACAAGAAAGTTATTTGAGTGTAATCAATGCTAGTTTAGAGAGGAAAAAGGAAATCATTGTAATTTTAAAAGTTTTTCAAATGTGGGTTATGAAAAATAGTGGTTGAAACTAGTGAGAGATAATGTTCCTTTCAAAATATAAGGGAATTGACACAATTCAAAATCAAAGAAGATGATGATAGTTAAAGGTAAATAAATGTGTTGAAAAAGGGATGATCGTGGTGATATTTTAAAGGAAACAAGTTTGTGTAGCTACTAGAAGAAAAATTAATCCTTTATAAAGTAGTAAAATGTAACTGTTTGATTAGCTGAATTAATGTAAAAGTTACTTGATGGAGGTAGTAACCACGTTTGTAGTAGTTACCAAGTTGAAAAAAATGGTAGACTAGGATATTTAAGTGCCTAACAATATAAATAAGGTTTGTACTTTTTTTTATACACACAACTAATCAATTAAGCATCCCTATTTACTATTATTGCTTTTTATTACATGTATTGTTTTTGTTGTCTTTTTCCTTTCAAAATTTACTTTTGTTCAACCTTTAACGCTTAACTCACCCATAATTAAAAAACACAATCCCTTAACGATAATCGTCTCATTGGTGTGTGTGAAACTTTTAATGACAAATAAAATAAGTTTTTTATGTCGGCTTTAGAAGCGTCATAAATCCCGACAATATTGAAAGTTTTAACTTTTATATCGATTATAAAAATAACTAATATAAAAAGTCTTATTTTTTAGGTTGACAATTCCTTCACTATCGTAGTCTTTCTTTCTCATCACATCTCTTGGTATTTGCCATCACACTCTTTCCTTCTTGTTGTCATATCTTTTCAAGTTTCATCATCATGCTCTTTCTCTCGTCACATCTTTTCATGCTTCGCTCTTGCACTCTTTTTTCCTCATCTCATCTTTTTGCATTCCCTACCACCTTATTTCCCTCTTGTTGTGACATCTTCTTTTGCAGTCATTGCGTTTTGTGTTTCGCCACCACTATGTTAGTTTCCAAACCACCATAGTATTAATATTTAAACAATAGCAACAAAAAATAAAGAAAATATTTTTTACCTAGATATGTGAGAAGGAAGATGATGAAGAAAAAAAGACAAAACTAGAAACAAGAGTCTAGAATGCAAATATGTTTTCAATCTAAAATTTGAAAGTACTTTTTATGTCGATTATTGTTTCATCAATCATGGAAAGTTCTTTCTATGTCGGATGTTATTACACATATCATAGAAGGTTAAGATCAACTACAAATTTGACACTTCTTGACACATTTTATGATATGTGTTCACTCACTTGACATAGAAATAACTTTTTATAACTGGTGAAACAATACCCAACAAAAAAGTTTTGTTATATTTGTAACTTTGTCATCGTATCACTATCTATGTTGAATGGATTACACCCAACATAAAGTCTTCGTCATAAAAAACTCTTTTAGTATTGGTGCCTAATTCCTTTTAGGAATCACTATGAGTGATTAATTCAACATTTAGCTAAAATTTTCATATGATGACAAGTTCTTTGTATAACCAAAAGTAGTATTAACCAATGGTTTTAACTTCGGATATTAGATATATTATTCCATTAAATACTAAATAGTAGAGTTTTACTGTCCATAATGGACACACCTATCTCAGGTTGAATGTTGCATTAATATATGTTTTAAT